TTGTAAAATAGCCGATATTTTTGTTGCAAAACTCGTAAGAGATTGCATTTCCCAATTATTGTCTACTTTAAAAATAAATGGATGTGGCGTATTCATAAGCATAGATGCGCAATGATACGCAAGAATACACACACAAAAGCATATATAGCCATTTATTTTAAAAGGGCCTTCTGAATTCAGTCCCCACATACTGTACTTCCATGGCTGAGGATGTTAAAGCAGGAAGAGTGGTAGAATTACACAAATTGTCTTAATTCGTCTGTGTAGCTGTGCAACTACTGTGATTTGAAAGTGGGATGAAAACTTCACCCATCACCAAATCTGCTGATTTAGGGCTGAGCTTTTAGGAAGAAACGCAAGGAAGGGTTGCGAACACGGGAAGAGCCTGAAGTCAGTCATTTGGAAGCAGAGGTATGTCTGGGTTGGGGGGGGGGGGGGGGGGGGGGGTAGTTCAAGTTAGGCTGGAGTTAACTTAGTGATGACTGGACACCTTAGTCTTTTGCACTGGTATGTAAACTATATTTGAACTTTTGCCTCTGCAAAACGTGAAGGAAATAAGGCCCTCTGCCATTTGAAGCGGACCGGCCGGGTAAGTTTCGCTTTCATCCTGAGCTGGGGCCTTGGTTCATATTTAAAATAGAGACGTGGAAATTATTGAGGGAGAAATATCTATTGCTAGTGAGTCCCCACGGGTAACCCATGGCAGAGGTTCACTGACTCGGGGGAGCAGGGTTGGGCCTGAGCCCCCTAAGCTGGCCAAGCCCAGCTTTTCTCCCAGGGAAGCTTTTTTTTTTCCCCCTCTCCTATAAATCAGTCTTTGTACAGCTCTATCTGCTCCGCTGGTCCCCGTGTCCCTCGGCCCCACCTGGGGCTGGTGGCTGCTGGGGATGTGCTGGCACCCACAGAAGCCTGGTGCAAGCCCCATCTCCTAGTTTAAAAACCCAGAAAAGTGGGACGGAGCAGTCACCTGCCCCTCTGTCCCAAAGAGAGCTGACACAAGCACCCAGCCTCGCAGCAGCCCGCAAACAGCCAGCAAAGCCAACCATGACAGGCACACAACCCCCAAGCAGCACGGCCCTCACCTCGGCCCTTCCACCCCGGGGGTACAGCCGGTGGGCGACGGGGCAGGTCGCGGGGTGCAACACTTACCCGAGCAGGAATGGGGTGGTGGGTGGAGGGCTGGGCCCCCATGCTGGTGAGGCTGCTTCTGAGCGGGCTGGCGCTCTCCATCTTCATCCCCTCCGACAGCGACACTTGGTACTTGATGCTGTCTTTGTCCTCCTGCCGGGCCCCGGCGGAGGAGGAAGGGGAGGCAGCGCTGGTGGAGTTGGGGTCTGGGGACACTTCCTTGGGAGGGGTCGGGGGGAAGCCAAAGAGGTGGGAGCCGGAGTGTGAGGCCGGGGTGAGTGAAGACACGGAGGCGGTGCTGGACATGCTGCTGCCTGGGTACACTGAGATGGCCCCGGGTGCTCCGGCCGCCGAGGGGTGCAGGGGTGTCTTGGTGAAGGGG